ACCGCAATAATGTATATTCCAAAAAAACTTAAAAGATTATAACAATAGTAAGCATTAATTACCATAAAAATGTTATTGTTATCCCCATATATTCCCATGGATATCGTAAGAGGCGACATAGGTAAAATAATTGTCAAATAGGTACTTTAACCTAAAAATAATTTGACCTGATAACCGCCTGCACCGTATGTATTACCATGTAGGCTTGTACAAAAAATATCGATATATTCGAAATATCGATGTTTTCTCATAAAAATATCGATATTTATCGTCAATATTTTTAATCGCGATATATCAATATTTACTTTAGAGTATCCAATTCGTGTCAATTCCGATAATATAATACTTAACTGTTACTTTACAATGTTATATACTTTAAAATACTTTACTTTGAATGTTATATTAATGGACATAACATGAAACTTTAAAATGTTATATTAATGGACAAAACATGAAACAACAAAAGGAACTACAAAAGCATTTATATGTGGTTATTTTGGCCTTATCCATACATCATGCAAATGATGACGATATATTGATATTTATCGCGCGATATATATCTTTTTATCAAAATATCGATACGATTTTTTGACGAAAAGGTCCAATCTATAAAATATCTAGGTGTTACTATAGATCAGCATCTAAGCTTTGAAAAACACATTACTCTTTTAAAAACTACGGTACGTAAACTAGTTTATATATTCAAATATTTGCGTCATATTGCTGATTTTAACTTATTAAAAACAGTATATTATGCATTGTGTCAGTCCGTTTTGACCTATTCTATATCTGCCTGGGGAGGCTCGTCGAAAACATCATTATTACTATTAGAAAGAGTCCAAAGAGCAATCTTAAAAGTAGCATCCTTTCGTAATTTTCTTTACCCTACTAAAGAACTTTACAGGGAATGGAAACTACTATCTGTGCGACAACTATTTGTCCAATCGATTATACATAGACAACATCGCTTAGTTCTTTATAATCCAGAGCTCAAAAGCAAAAAGCGAAGATATGATTTAGTGTGCTCGAGCAAAGTATTTAGGACGAAATTCGCACAAAGATTTTTTGATTTTATTGGTCCATATTTATACAATCTATGTAACGGGAAAATTGATTTATATTCTTTATCATCATACGAATGCAGAAAAAAGGTTACCTCCTGGTTACTGAACCTAAGCTATGATGATACTGAAAATTTAATAAGAATTATTAATTAGATTATTATTATTATCTTATTTAACCCGTAATTACTTGATGTAACTTCCATAATTTTTTTATATTGTCTATAAACTTGTTAAATTATTAAAGCAATCAAAGAGGTAATAATATATGTATATTATAAGAACAAAATTAAAAAAGAAAGCATAAACTAAAAATAAAGTGTGGTGATTTATAAAGTATATATATATATATATATATATATATATATATATATATATATATATATATGTGTGTCTGTGTAATAATAATATTTATGTCTGTTATTAACATAATAAAATAATATAATAATAATATACTATTATAATATAAATTTAACTAAGTATACTGTTTTTATTTTATTTCTGTAACTCTACTTATTACTTATAAACACACACAAATGTTATTATTCTGCTCAATTATATGCATCCTAAATGATGCGACCATTAATAAGTAAAATGAAGTACCTACAGTTGTAAAATGTTTAACTGTTGTCTCTATGTGCTATTTAGTGAGACATTCCCCTTTTTTTTGTTGTTCTCTTTCTTGTTAGTTTTGTGCGTTTTTTTTTACTAGAATATAAGTAAATCTCGTTGTATTATTTTTAATTACGAATGAAAACATTTATTGTAGCTTCATCTATTTATTTTGTCCACGGATACCTACAGGTGGGGACCTGGTGACCTAAGATACAGGTTTTACCTAGTTTAGGCACCAGTTTTTCACCTAACAATAGTATTGTATCAGATGTAAGCAGATATTTTTTGTTGTTTTCTGAATGTATATTGTTGGTGAAAATAAATAAAAATAAATATTTATCGATTTATTTTTGCACTAGCCCATCCCTATTGCCATGTAAGTTTATCACCCCAATTTTTGTGGTATATTTTTTATTTATTCTCTTATAAGAATTAGATTAACAGAATCTATCATCATCATTGTCATTACATCCGTTCACAAGTCCACTGTTGAACATAGACCTCCCCCAAGGAGTGCCACAAAGCACGGTCCTGAGCCACCTGCGTCCATTGACTTCCTGCATGTCTTACTAGGTCGTCACTCCATCTAGTGGGGGTCGCCCTACATTTCACCTACCGGTACGAGGCTGCCACACAAGAAACATTTTTTCCCCATCGGTTGTCGGTTCTCCGAGCTATAATGGCCGGCCCATTGCCACTTCAGCAAACTAATCCGTTGGGCTATGTCGGTCACTCTGGTTCTACCGCGGATATTCTCATTTGTAAGCTTATCACGCAGATAAACCCCGGAAATAGCCCTCTCCTGAGCGACCTTAAGCTCATACGGCAAGCAGTGAAGGACCATGTCTCAGTTCCATAGGTCATCTCTGGCAATACGCACTGGTTGTACAGTTTTGTTTTCAAGTTTTGAGGTATACCTGACGAGAAGATGCTGTAATTCCCCGAACGCTGCCCAGCCGAGTTGAATCCGTCGATTGACCTCTCGGTCGAAGTTGAACTTACCCAGTCGGACTTTTAGTCCCAGGTAAGTAAACATACTCGTCAACAACTTCGAGCCTAGTGCTCCCAACAACTACCGGCATATGTGTGACATGGACGTTATACATGATCTTTGTTTTGTCTATGTTCATCTTAAGATCTTTCCGTTGGGAGGCACTATTGATCATCACGCATAGTAGTTAGGTCCTCCAGCGATTCTGCCATAAGGACTATATCGTCGGCAGATCGAAGATGAGTGATGTACTCGCCATTGATGTTAATACCGTATTCTTTCCAGTTCAGAACCTTGAAAACGTTTTCCAATGCAGCGATGAAGAGTTTCGGGGATATGACGTCACCCTGTCGTACGCCACTCTGCAGTTGGTTGAGTTTCGTACCCTGGTTCTGTACTCGTATAGCCATCGTAATCCTACTGTACAAACATTTCAGCACTTCGATATACCGACAGTCAGCTTGGCATCTTGGCAAATTTCGACGGAATCAAAGGCTTTCTCATAGTCCACATACGCAAGACAGTGGCAAATTGTGCTACTTGATCTTCTGTACGATTTGCTTAAGGGTATGTATGTGGTCTATGGTACTAAAGCCTTTTCGGAAACTGGCTTGTTCGGGAGGCTGGAAGTCGTCAAGTCTGCGTGCGAGACGATTCGTAATGACTCTCCAAAACAGCACATAGACGCGCCTCTGAAGGGAAATCGGTCTGTAGTTCTTCAAGAGAGCGTTGAGCGTCGTCGCCTTTCTTGAAGAACAAGACCACCGCACTTCTGCTCCACGCGTCCGGTGTAGTGCCACTATGGTTTGGGAATTCCCGACAATTTCAAAGTCCCGGGACACGGGACAGTCTATAATCAAAGTCCCGGGAATTCCCGGGACTTCGAGACTTTAGAGAAAAAGCTTTTTTGTTTTTTTAAGATGGGTAAGCCTGTTTTGAAGAATTGTAATTGAGTTAATTTCTGGTGAAACGTATTAAAAAGGGGCATTTTTATGTAAAAATCAACATTTATTAAACAACTAGCTGACCCGGCAAACGTTGTTTTGCCATTTACATTATTTCTAGGAAATATTTTCACTTTTAAAAATCGCGATTAAAGAGCATGGGTTGATCGTATATAGGTGAAAGTATGAAGTTTTATATATTGTCACAGCTAAATCATAATAAAATAAAAATAAAAAATTGTCAAAAAAATAAAAAAATATTTAGGGGTGGGTCACCCTTATCATTTAGGGGTTTGAAAAATAGATGTTGGCTGATTCCCAGACCTACCCGATATGTACACAAAATGTCATACAAATCGGTTCAACCGTTTCGAAGGAGTTTGGTAACGAACACCGCGACACGAGAATTTTATATATTAGATTAAACAGAAAATTAAACTTTAACGTTAATTTCAGCCTTAATAATTGCTTTGTTTATTTCTTTTAGTCACACACAGGTGCACTTCTAAACAGTTATATCTTATAGTTATGAAACGAACTTAGTTAAAAATCATACTACCTAATTCTTAATAACTTTACTATTATCTAGTAATTCTAGTATCTAATCATAGTTCATAATCTCATTGTTAATTCTCATAATCACATATTTGTTTCATTTATTGTGTTGCGTACTCAGTAGTTACGTAGTAGAGTAAGTAATTTTTCATTAAACTAACACATGGCGCTAGACTCCTTCAATTATTTGAAAATAAAAATGATTACATAAAAATTTCGACAATCTTGTCTTGTCTCGAGTCTCGACACGAAAGTCCCGGGACTCGAGACAACTAAAATTACGAAAAGTCCCGGGACTTCGAGACGTGACGTCCCGGGACCTAAACCCTAAGTGCCACCATGGAGGACGGAATTAAAAAGCTTCTGAAGAGCTTCAATTACCGGTTTCCCACCCGCTTTCAGAAGCTCCGCTGTAATTCCATCCTAGCCCGGGGACTTCCGTTTTTAAGGTGCTGGAGAGCCATTCTAATCTCACTCAGACTGACGTCCGGAATATCTTCGGAATAGTGTCGGATAAGACTTGCTCTTGGATCGTTACTCACACTTGCTTGTGGTTCCAACGATAATGTGTACAGCTCTCTATTAAACCTCTCAATCTTAATCAAAATCACTTATTTTGTTATGAGAAATATGCTGCTGCCCATCTTCTGCCTCAGTTTCCCTCTGTCGCATCTTACGACACTCACAGGAAGATATGAAGTAGTGGGTATTCTTACCCGCCAAACGTCTTTGCACGTCTACCGTAGTATAGCATAATCGTCGAGGTAGTATAGTCCAGAAATTTAGATTAATGGGTATTCACTTAATTCCTTCTTGAAATAAAACAACTTAATTCGGTGTATGTTATTGTATTCACTAGGGATCGATTTTTCAATTGTCAGATAAAAGTTATCCATCAAATAGATTAAAACCTGACTGATACTATATTCTACTATTACATACTATTGTAATTTTTTTATTTCTTTGTTGTATTTAATTCTATGAATAACTTTTATTTGAGGATTGAAAAATCGGCCTTAAAGAATATTAATATTATCTTAGAAATATTTAAGACAATGTTTCATAAATTAATGAATTTATTATTAATACCACTTAAATAAATAACATTTTCACTATTTATAAATGTGCTTCCTTTTTTAATACAAAAACGGGAAGCCTGGAAATGTCCGCCATGCTGATCTAGTGCGTGTTGGCGGAATTAATATAGTGCTTAATATTTATGTGTTACTCGGTTTCCTCATGTTTTCATTCACCACAAGCGCATAATAATTCAGGAATTAATTTCAATGACGCTGTCATCGGAGTTTGAATCCAGGTATCACACCCACTACGAAATTAAAATAGCGCTTCCTACCCTTGTGCTTAAAATTAACTAATTTAATTATTGTTTGTCCCCGGAACCAACTTCAAGCCCTTCTCGCTGCGCAGCCATCAACAAAGTTTGTAACTCGGAGTAAATTGTTTCAAGCATCACAAGCCGCGGCTTTGTATACTGCAAAATATTAAAGCACACTCTTGAAAATTGAAAATTAATCCTAATTAATTTTGTAACTTATTTGCGAACGTAAACCTACCACAAATATTTTACACAGCGTAATATACAGACGTGGGTATACGATAACTTAAGACTACTGTGAAATTTTTCAACAGTGCAGAACAAAGCAAATATTCTAAAGAATTCTTATGCGATATGATGTTTATTGTGCGATATATATATAATCGGTGATATCTCGCTAAGAGGAGTATCAGAAATATGAAAAAATCAAAGCTCATGTAGAACAAAATTTGCGCTTCTGGACAAATGTTAGCTGCCGTTCCTGTAGGCTCGAATCCACGACAAAACACGCTATTAACACATAAGTTAATAGCGTGGCAACAAAGCCAGACAGATGTTGCGGTGTATATTTCTTTTCTAAGCCAATACATATGAATATATTTGATAGCGGGGCTGGTCGTCGCAGTCATGTGCAGCCCGGAGGATGGATAGGCCCGTAACTTCAATACCACTGTACTTCCGAGGCATCGGGAATAGACATCCTCTCTGTAATTTACGCAAACTCTAGCAAGTGGTAAAAGAAGTATTCCAATTAGTACCCGAAGTAGAAGAAATGAGATATCAACTGGACAGGACAATACTTCTCAGTAAATAACGAACGGCGTTGAGGTTAGAATAAAGTCCCCAGATGTTGCAAAAAAGTACGGAGAGCGTTAGCATGGTAAGCCGTGTAGTCTTTATCAATTTAAGTATAGAGCAGAAATGAAAGTATACAATTATTTTTTTATTGCACGCCTCACAACTTGAGGGAGTGCTCTACTCTATGTGACCACACCTCACTTCCGCTACATAAAATCGTTCTTATACTTTTAGTTAGACATCAAATCCATATTATTATTAACGTGACAATAACTACAGACATTGAATTATAAGATTAGTTTATTTTCTAATTGATTCACTTTAGATTACATAAAAAAATTTTATTGAAAAAATATATGGCCTGCCGTCCGTTGGTCTGTGCGACGGTGAGTCTTCTCGCTTAATAGAAATGTAAGCAATAGATTGAGATATTTAGTATTAAATAAGATTTCATGTATTGTAAGGAGGATTCCTATTGATTTTTGTTATTGAACTCGACACCGTTTAAAAGTTATTAATGAAAGTCGATCAGATTCTGTTTTTTTTTTTTTCTTGTAAAAATTATCGTCACTATTTTCATCACTTTCTTGTCACATGCTCATCTATGTATTTCTTTCTCTTTCCTGTGTATACTCTTGTGTCATTTTGCCACAAACAGCACCACGATAGGAATAAATAATATGGACTTAACGTCTATCTTATAATTTTAATTTTTAACATAAATATTATTTAGGTTAGTTTTTAACTACCGTGAAAAGAAGAGTAAATTAGGACTTAAGGAACTATATTTTTGGTGATAGCTTAGCTTTCATTTTTCGAATCCAGGCCGATCCAACAAGTGTTTATTGGTTTTGAACCTGTTGGAATTGTTTTTGACATCATTTCGAAATTGCTTCCTAACCCACTTCCAACCTCTTTACACGTGTTAGAACTATGCTGCAGCTATATTATGGTTGTAGCACGAATAGGGTGGCTCGACCTGGGAGGACCAAGATTTCATAGAACACCAGCGTAAAATAGCAGCTTATAGCTTCTGAGTTTCGGTATGATGACTGTAGAGGGACCCATTTCACTGGAATCGAGGCATTCCATCTTAGTCCTCTGGTGTGCCAACGCGTCTGCATTTAGACTTGGATAAATATAGATATCCCGAGCCGTGGTAGCTCAGATGGTTAGCGCTCGCTGTAAGTTTCACACACAGTACGCGAGGCAACCCGGGTTCGATCCCCGCCGGCACCAATGAAATTATTAATTGCAATTTTAAGTGCGATTTACCACTTGCTCGGCGGTGACGGAAAACATCGTGAGGAAACCTGCATGTCAGAGAGATAAGAAAAAAATATTTCGAAGACATTTGAAGTTCGCTAAGACGCATTGGGACAGCGCAGAGGACACTTCCTAGCTCTAAGAACCCTCTCAGAAATGAGAGGAGGCCTGTGCCCCCAGCAGTGGGACGTATATAGGCTGTAACTTTAACAACTAACTGTAATATTCACTTTTAACATTTATATCTCCTGCATAGTCTGAAATAATTCAGAAGTTACCGAAAATAATCTGCGAAAAGAACATCGCTTCTACATCACATTTACATTATATTATGAATACTCCACGATCTTAATATCATGGATACATTCACTCCTTTTCATTTAGACATCTCATTTATGGCAGAAGTAAAATAACGTCGAAGATGCAAGACGACTGGTTTGGCGATCGCCAATACAACGAAACAGGCCCATTTCAAGCAGTGGGCTTTTATATGCTGATTAAGAAGATGATAGCTAAGGCCTGAATGCCTGCTACGCTGACGTCGGTTGCGTACGGTCGGTCGCGTACGCGTACGTAGCAAACTACGCGCCGCTGTCGTCGGCGTCGTAGTGTGGGGCTATATAGAACACAATGTACATTTATACGCGCGACCGACGCACGCGACCGACGTCAGCGAAGGAGGAATTCAGGCCTAAATGATTTGATATGTAATATGTATAATACCGAAAAAGTTACCTTAAATAATGGTATCAACTTAATGCCTTCAGACTCTTGATTTGCTTGAGTTGTTCCAGTTTTAACAAGAAGTGTAAGATAGTACAGAACTCTATTCTGAAACAGATGACGTATAAATTATTTAAAAAATATAGATATCATAATGAAGAAAAATATGCAATCTTTGTTTATGTCATCAATCATAACGATAAACAATCTTCTTAATATCCTTCGTTTTCCCATTCGTCTCACTAACCTTATTAGTGGAAAATATAAAAGAGAAACAAAACAATCTAGAACTATGTGGTCACAATCTACTTGTAGGTAATTATGTAATGGATTTATATAGCTAAACTAGCGATCAGCCGCGGCTTCGCGCGGGTGATTTCTGGTTCTCGACAACGGCTCCACATACCGAATCCAATTGTGAATCTAAACCATCCAGGGACCCATTCAAACACACAAAAAATTTCATCAGATTCGATCGAGCCAGTTTCGAGTTTTAGCGAGACTAATGGACAGCAAATGATTTTTATATATAGAAATATTGTGGCCACGTAATATGTTTGACAATAAATAAGACCGTTTTTAATCTCTTTATTTTCTTTTATGTTGTTAGTTTCACAGGTCATCACATCGTGTCCCAAGCAGTCAAAATTCGAGCATACAAACACGCAATTTTATTTTTTGGTTGATTTAATACAACTATAATTTAAAAAAATATTTGTAGGTACCTATTAACATTAAAGTTTACAAAATTTACCTTAAGTAGAATAACTGTATATACAGTTATTTTACTTAAGGTCAATTTTGTAATAACTAAAATAATAGCATATATAATAAGCAATTTAATTAATCCAACTAAAATAATTAAAAAGAAAAAAATAATTTAATACCAATTTCTTAAATTTCCATTTTTCCCATTCATTGTAGACAGAATTTAGTAATTGGAATGAGGGCATCACGACTTTTTCTACCACCAGGGTGGCGCCACTTAAAAGTGAGGTAAAATATTTGACAGATTTCATAGCGGGGAAGTTAATTTGTTCGAAAAATGTAAAGGTTAGTGTAGCTTTCTGTACTATTAGCTATATTTTATATTAATAACATTAAAAATAAATAAACCAAACCATAGATGTTCATAAAAGTTGAATAATTAAAAAAAAATGTTAAAAATGTGCAAAAAATTAAAGAGTAAACCACTGAGGCATTGTTTTGTGTATTAATATAATACTCTAGAAACTGATAAACTTTTATTAAAAACTAACTTCTCAATTAAATGACATTGTGTAACAAAAAAAAAACTTTACCTCAGTGTCAACTAGCGACATCTGGTGAGCAGAAAATTATTAGCCCTCATTGAAAACTTGCATTTTTGCGTTACGCCCTGTCAGCGCCTATATTATTACACTACAATGTCTCTGTTAAAACCACAAAAGCAAAGAAAAGTATAAAAATAAAGTTCAATAAAAGAATAATTGTATGAATATTGTAATTGCTTTTCTTTGACTATTTATATATCCTATTATAGGCATCAACGATTCATAGAGAATAATTTAATATAATATATAAATAATAAATATCTACAAAACCTTAAAATATTACCTCTTTGCTTTTTAAACATTGTGTGCTTGGACAGAAGATAGGCCTTTTCTCATTTCTGAGAAGATGCTAGATTGCATGTATATTGGCATAGAGAACCTTGCATAATTACTCTCTTGGGTAAATTAAATTCAAAGCAGATTTTAAGAGGGCTTGATTAGAAATAGTAAATTAATGTAAAACTAAACAATGAAAAGTCTCTTACCAATTTAATGACTTCATTAATAATAACATCTTCAATACTTGACCATGGCACAAAAATGTCTTCTTGGCCCAAAACATATGTAACAGAATTTTGTATGCCCACAGTTGGTATCACTAGAATTGTCTCTGAAAATTTTAAGAAGTCTTAAAGAAAATATTGAAGAATATTTTCATGTTTTTCTTTCTAAATAACAGCCTTTATTTATCGACTGCTGGATTAGCCCTTTTCAAAAGTGGGTGTAAAAGCAACCTGTAAGTGGTCCACCTTGCTGACAAACAAGGTTCTGATAACCAACTGTTTGTGGAAACTCCATACAAAAGTACAACTTAAGTCCCACAGTCTGATCAAGGGCCGTACTATTACCAATGCAAGAGTCTAATTACCTAAGCATGGTGAGTTAAGGACCAGTCTCAAGATATGCATTTAAATTTTATTTCTCAGACATGCAGCTTTCTTCATAGTGTTTACCTTCATTTATTTTTATTTATTTTAATAGGCTCTCACAACAATGAGTACACCGTAATACATGTGGAATGACATCATAATTATTATAACTAAGTGTCCCATTACTTACAGGAGGGCACCACATGCATATTTTGTAAATTACGTTGATTTAGATAGGTATATAGGTACTATTAAACTAAATACAATTTAAATTAACATGAAGAAACTACCGTTATTTCATAGTTTTAATCAGCTATAACTACTTTTTTGATGCCAACCTTTGAGGTTAAGAATAGATCTAATCTGCTTTGTTATTCTTCATCACCGAATATATGGTAAATCAGCATTTAAAACTGCTGATTTATTGTTGTTGTATTATTGTGGTTAGATATTTCATTGGTGAGAAGTATTTTTAAAAGAAACATCCTAGTAATGCCTTAACATTATTAAACATTCATAGAACACAGTATGTTGTAAAAAGTAAATACAAGATAACATCAAAATAAGTATGCAAGCCAACAACAACACTAGATATCATCATTTAACACAGAGCACAATATGACCGTAATTGTTTTTTTTTTATAGGATAGGGTGACAAAAGTCCACACAGTCCTCTTTTGCGAATCATAATGCAGATGTGTTGTCATCCATGAGGACTAAGATGGAATGCCTCTTTTCCAATAAAAAGGGTCTCCGGTTCTCTATACTCACCATAAAAACTGCTCGGGGCAAACTGAGCAACAAGACCAAGGCAACCCCTGCCACGCTATCCGTGAATTTCTGCAACATCAGGGGACTTCACTCGAACCTAAACGCCGTCCACTACCATCTTGAGACGGCGAAGCCGGCCTTGCTCTTTCTGACCGAGACGCAGGTGTCCTCTCCGGCTGATACTTCGTATCTCTCCTACCCGGGGTACAAATTGGAGCACTCCTTTGTGCCTCGGGCTGGAGTTTGCGTGTATGTCAGAGAGGACATCTGTTCTCGACGCCTCGGCAGTCTTGAAGGTTCGGACCTGTCCATCCTTTGGCTACGCGTGGACAGCGACGACCATCCGCGCGTCTACGCGTGCCTCTATAGGTCCCAAAGCGGTAATGCCGAAACAGACCGACTCATCGACCACGTCCAAATGGCTGCAGATTCCTTGCTACAACAGGTCCCATCCGCAGAGATCGTGATCCTTGGCGATTTTAACGCCCACCACGCCGAATGGCTCGGTTCACGTTTAACCGATCATGCGGGGAGATCTGTTTATGACTTTGCCTTGGCATATGGTCTGACACAACTGGTTACATCGCCTACGCGGATTCCAGATGTTGAGGATCATACACCTTCCCTGTTGGACCTTCTGCTGACCTCTCATCCGGACGGATATCAGGTTTCCGTCGATGCCCCTCTTGGCTCTTCGGACCATTGTCTGATCCGGAGTGTGGTGCCACTCACGCTCCCCTCGCGGTTGCGTTCTGCAGGTTGCCGCCGTGTTTGGCATTACAGGTCGGCGGATTGGGACGGAATGCGGTCTTTCTTTGCTTCCTACCCATGGGGGCGGGTTTGCTTCTCGCCGGATGATCCCAGCGCTGTTGCTGACTCTGTCACTGATGTGGTGCTACAGGGAATGGAACTATTTATTCCATCATCTGTGGTACCCATCGGAGGCAGATCTCAGCCTTGGTTTGGTCGCTCCTGTAAGACTGCATTACGCAGTAAGCAGGAGTGTTATCAAGCCTGGGCTGCGGCTTCGGTGACTCGGGATGTAAACACCAGCACACTCAAAAAGAAGTATAACTTCGCCTCCAGGTCCTTCAAAAGAGTTATTGCCAAGGCAAAGTCAGAGCACATAGGCAGAATTGGCGAGAAACTAGTTCGCCTTCCTTCGGGAACCCGTGCATTCTGGTCTCTCGCCAAGGCTGTCCAAGGGAATTTCTGTAAGCCATCACTACCATCTCTGCACAGGGAGGACGACTCACTGGCCCACGACGCAAAAGAGAAGGCCGACCTTTTAGGCTCCCTTTTTGCGTCCAACTCGACTGTTGATGACGGGGGGAACACACCGCCGACCATCCCGCGGTGTGAGTGCTCCATGCCGGATGTGCGGTTCTCACAGCGCTCGGTTCGCAGAGCACTCCTCTCCCTTGACATCCACAAGTCGAGTGGGCCTGACGGAATCCCCCTAATTGTGCTGAGGACGTGTGCTCCAGAGTTGGCACCGGTTCTAACGCGTCTTTTCCGGTACTCCTACTCCCTAGGCGTAGTCCCGAAATCATGGAAGACAGCTTTTGTCCACCCGATCCCTAAAAAAGGCGACCGCTCAGACCCGTCCAACTACAGGCCTATCGCCATCACCCCCTTGTTCTCCAAAATAATGGAATCCATTATTAACTGCCAGCTCATCCGGTACCTTGAGGATCACCAGCTGATTAGTGACCGCCAATACGGTTTTCGTCGGGGTCGATCAGCTGGTGATCTTCTGGTCTACCTGACCCATAGATGGGCGGAGGCAGTAGAGTCCAAGGGGGAGGCGTTGGCCGTTAGTCTGGACATTGCGAAGGCCTTCGATCGGGTTTGGCACAAAGCGCTTCTTTCGAAGCTCCCTTCCTATGGGCTTCCCGAGAAATTACGCAATTGGATCACCAGCTTTCTTGCAGATCGGAGCATCAAGGTCGTTGTAGACGGTGCATGCTCCGACTACAAGCCTATTAACGCTGGTGTTCCACAAGGCTGCGTGCTATCACCAACGCTGTTTCTTCTGCATATCAATGATATGTTGCAAGCCGGTAGCATTCATTGCTATGCGGATGACAGCACTGGTGATGCTCTATACACCGGCCGTGCCAATATTTCTCGGGAAAACGTCACTGAGTACCGGAACAAACTTGTGTCTGAAGTCGAGTCTTTGCTGGACAAAGTCTCGGATTGGGGGCGACTAAATCTAGTCCAGTTTAACCCTCAGAAGACACAAGTTTGCGCGTTTACCGCTAAAAAGAATCCCTTTGTCGTATCTCCTCAGTTTCAAGGTACTCCCCTTGTTGCCTCAGCCAGTATCGGAATCCTCGGCGTCGACATATCGAGTAGCGTGCAGTTTCGTGGTCACTTGGCAGAGAAGGCCAAATTAGCCTCTAAAAAGCTTGGCGTGCTCAATAGAGCGGGACAGTATTTCATGCCGGCTCAACGCCTGCAACTTTACAAGGCGCAGGTTCGGCCTCACATGGAATACTGTTCCCATCTCTGGGCTGGGGTTCCCCAGTGCCAGCTTCTTCCACTTGACCGCATCCAGCGCAGAGCGGCTCGAATCGTCGACGACCGAGTTCTTTCCGATCGACTCGACTTATTGGCACTGCGAAGAGATGTTGCATCTCTTAGCATTTTCTTTCGCATTTACCATGGGGAGTGCTCTGAGGAATTGTTCGGATTAATCCCAGCCGCCAAATTTCACGAACGCACATCGCGGCAGAACTCCCGATACCATCCACACCATCTGGATGATTGGCGGTCCACCACTGTGCGATTTAGAAGATGTTTTCTTCCTCGCACAACTTCCTTGTGGAATAGTTTACCACCAGCGATTTTTCCGGACCGATACGACTTAGGGACCTTCAAGAAAAGAGCCTACTCCTTTTTAAAAGGCCGGCAACGCATCTGCAATTCCCCTGGTGTTGCGGTTGTTCATGGGCGGCGGTAGTCACTTACCATCAGGTGAGACGCATGCTCGTTTGCCCCCTCTCCTATAAAAAAAAATAAAAAATATGAAACACAGCAGTGTCAAGCTACTATTTTATGCTGGTATTCTGTGAGAATGTGGTCCTTCCCCGGTGGAGCGGACCCATTAGTGTTAGTTAGTTAACTATACTACTAATATAGCTGCAGCATGGCTCTACCACGTGTTGCTTGTACTAAAAAAATTACTACAATATACAGAATTATGATACTTATTAAAATTTATTAAAATGACCGATCCAAGATGAGTAACATGCAGCATAATTTATTATACTGCTTGGTTAAGTTAGTTAGTTAGTGTTGCTAGTTACATCCTAACTACAGTGTAATTTGTTTTATTTTCTTCTCTCGTTCATAACAATATTATAATAGAATTACAAATCTATATTATTAAAGTTTTTAAAATTTTGCAGCCAGTGCTTTCTTCATGCCTTATAAAAAAACAATTACCAAGATTCATATGCTTTAAATGATATTAGTATCATTTCAAGTTATATTTTTTTTTAATGTAATAATTAATAGTTTCAGGTATACCATATTTCAATAGATTTTTGACTCACATTAATGAGCAACAACCATACTAAAATGTTTCTTTAAGCTCTTACTAAACATCAATAAAGACTACAGAACTACAAGTGATTTCAGGAACTTGTTTCTTGTTGTTTGTATTGTTCTTACATTGTTTGAATTATTGATTCAGTTATGAATATATTAACTTTGGTGCTCTCTGTGGATTTACCATGTTAACATTCATTCATTCATTACTGCCTACCCAAAGTCCAGAGCTAAACATAGATCTCCCCCATAGATTGCCTCACGCCATGGACACTTGCCATAATTGCCACATTTGGCGACATATTATATATTTTCCATCATCAACATCATCATCATTACAGCCCATCACAAGTCAACTGCTGAACATAGGCCTCCCCCAAGGAATGCCACAAAGCACGGCCCTGAGCCACCTGCATCCATCGACTTCCTGCATGTCTTATCAGATCGTCACTCCATCTAGTGGGGGGTGGGGCCTACACTTTGTCCGCCGGTACGAGGCTGCCACTCAAGAACCTTTTTTCCCCATCGGTTGTCGATTCTTCAACCCATATGGCCGGCCCATTGCCACTTCAGCATACTAATCCGTTGGGCTGTGTCGGTCACTCTGGTTCTACTGCGGATATCCTCATTTCTAAGTTTATCATGCAGAGAAACCCTGAGCATAGCCCTCTCCATAGCTTGCTGAGCGATCTTGAGCTTCCTCATACAGCCCACAGTGAAGGACTACGTCTCAGTTCCATAGGTCATTACTGGCAACACACTGGTTGTACAGTCTCATTTTCAAGTTTTGAGGTATACTTGATGAGAAGATGTGCCGTAATTTCCCGAACGCTGCCCAGCCAAGTTGAATCCGTTGATTGACCTCTTGGTCGAAATTGGACTTACCTAGTCAGACTAATTGTCCCAGGTAAACATACTCATCAACAACCTTGAGCTTAGTGCTCCCAACAAATACCGGCACAGGTGTGACATGGACGTAATACATGATTTTGTTTTATCCATGTTCATCTTAAGACCTATCTGTTGGGAGGCACTATTGAGGTCATTGAGCATAGTGCTGAGGTCCTCCAACGATTCTGCCATAAGGACTATATTGTCAGCAAATTAAAGGTGAGTGATGTACTCACCATTGATGTTAATACCATATCCTTTCCAGTCCAGTAGCTTAAAAATGTCCTCCAATGCAGCGGTGAAGAGTTTCGGGGATATAATGTCATCCTGTCTTACACCTCTCTGCAGTTGGGTTCTGTACTCGGATAGCCATTGTCGCCGTAGTGTACAAACACTTCAGCACTTCGATATACCGACAGTCAACTTGGCACCGCTCAAGGGACTGCAGCACCACCTAAATTTTGATGGAATCAAAGGCTTTCTCATAGTTCACATATGCCAGACATAGTGGCAAATTGTACTCTTCGGGCTTCTGTACAATTTGCCGAAGGGAATGTATGTGGTCTGTGGTGCTAAAGCCTTTTCGGAAACCGGCTTGTTCGGGAGGCTGGAAGTTGTCGAGTCTGCATGCGAGACGATTCGTAATGACTCTCAAAAACCGCACGTAGATGCGGCTCAGAAGGGAAATCGGTCTGTAGATCTTCAAGAGATCGTTGTCGCCTTTCTTAAAGAACAAGACCACCGCATTTCTGCTCCACCCCTCCGGTATAATGCCACCATGGAGGACGGAATTAAACCCGAAATTCCATATGTAAACATATTGAATAAATTAAGGCTTAGAACCACTGGAACTGGAATATATATAGAATATAAATGGCATCTGAATAATACTAATTTGACTTATAATAGGACTAACCTGATTGAACACTGTGCGTAATCCAAAAAAAAATTAAAAATGATAAAACAATTACGATAATTAGTATTGCTGTAACACTTATTCTTATATAAATTAAAGATATAATATTAAGTATAACTGCTAAAATTAGAGATTTTTTGTGCCAATGCGATTTATTTTCTTTATTTTTAAAAGAAATCGTAAAACTCATTGAATTGGGTGTACTATTCCGACTTTTAACTTTAAGTGATAAATTGACACCATTCACATTTTCGCAATCAAAAATCTTTTTTATTTCTGCCATTTTAATACTAGACATTTACTAACATAGAGGACAACATACAATCCAACATCAAAAATTGATCAAATGATCAAAAATCAAAATATTTTGATTCATGATTTCAATTTTGATTTCATTACAATTACAAAATTCAATTGACATTTGTTGTTGTTTTTATTATTCGCTCGAGAGAGCAGGCAAAGGAACTAACCCATACAGCCTTGTCTTTTTTATTTTGAATATATAGAATTTTAAAGTGTAAAGGCCGGAACCAAGTCTTATTTTTCTTCTTTCCATCTCTTCAAAATCCATAAAGGCCGAAACCAAGTCTTATTTTCTTTAATTCTTCATATTTTCAAAAACCGTAAAGGCTAAAGCCAAGTCTTCTTTATATTATAATCCTTGTAAGTTTCAATCCATGTAGATTTGTCAATCCAATATTTTCAAAAACAGGGATACCATATTTCATATTTATTTTACAGTATTATGAATAAAACTTCAAAGTGCTAAATATGTCTTAGTATTCCTAAGAACATCTTGCATTGAACGCGGGACGCTTTCTGAGTTTTCATGTACTTGTATAAGTTTTTCAATGAGTAGCAATCTTTCTATGGCGTACGCTGGGCAGTTAAATATTATATGTTCTGCAGTCTGATATGCTTCTCTATCGCAGAAGTTGCATGTTGCAGATGCTACTATTCTCATCCTGGAAAGATGAGCGTTCAGTCGATAGTGGCCAAATCTAAGTCTGCACATTATTGTATAAAATTTTCTGCTATGGTATCTCTCGTTGCGAAAAAACCATGGAATACCTAATTCTGAATTAATTGATGCATACCAACGACCTTTTCCTGTCTCTAAAACAGCATTCCATTGCATTTTCCATTATTCTTTTAACTGTTGCTTTAAAATTGAATATAAATCTGTATATGGTATTGCAACACCGGTTTTCCTGTCAATATCAGCTGTAACTGCGCTAGCACTTCTTACTAGTTTGTGGCTGTAACTATACTTTTAGCTAAATGGTCTGCGCTTTCATTTCCTTGAACACCAATATGTGACGGAATCCATAAAAATTTTACTTCCAAATTATTTTCTTTCAATTTCCACCACAAAATTTTGATTTCATATATGATGAAAGACGTTTTAGCATCTAAAGTTCTTGCCTTCAGTGCCATCAAGACACTCATGCTATCAGAGATCAGTAACCAGTTGTCAGTAAAGTATGTGGGTGTTCTTTTATATATTTAAGAGCGATTAAGAAAGCATAACATTCTGCAGTGTATATGCTTGCTGATGCAGGAATGGAAAGGCCACGTCCAGTTTTCAGATGAGGTATGTAAAATGCACAGGCTACTTTATTTTCAACTTTTGAGCCATCTGTGTAAATTTGTCGATATTCATCATATGTAGATATAAGTTCATAAACCTCTTCTTTTCTTTTCAATTTTTCATCAATATTTATGTGTATATCACTGAATTTACTTTCATAATTCCCCTTATAACAAGGCCAAGTATGTGTGCTTTTGTGAATATTATATTGTTCATCATATCGTGTCACTTCATGAAAGTCATGGAGTATATATGGGGCTGAGTTAAATATAGGAGACATACTATTATAGTAAAATAATACTTTTTGAAAAAGAGGATGATGAGACAAAGAATTAATATTTAATAAAACCCTAAATTTCAGATATTTAAACCTAAGTAAGATAGGAGGAGGAAGACATTCAGCCTGTAAAGAAACAATAGGAGTTGTTCTCATAGAGCCGGTAATAAGTCTTAAATTCTTATTTTGTATAATATCTAATTTGTTTACTAGTTTTTTATTTGATGCAAAACATAGGAAGCCATACTCAAAATGGCTCCTCACCAAAGACTTATATATTAATAATATTTCTGGATCAGCTCCCCAGTTAGTATTAGTCAAAGCTTTTAATACATTAAAGGCCTTAGAAGCTCTGTCTGAAAAAGAATTCACGTATTTGGTCCAAGATAAATTATTTGTACCTTGTATTCATGAGGTACCTTGAGGATCACCAGCTGATTAGTGACCGCCAGTACGGTTTTCGTCGAGGTCGATCAGCTGGTGATCTTCTAGTCTATCTGACTCATAGATGGGCGGAGGCAGTAGAGTCTAAGGGGGAGGCATTGGCCGTTAGTTTGGACATAGCGAAGGCCTTCGATCTTTCTAGGCTTCCTTCCTATGGGCTTCCCGAGAAATTGTGCAAATGAATCACCAGTTTCCTTGCTGATCGGAGCATCAAGGTCGTAGTAGACGGTGCATGCTCTGATTTCAAGCCTATCAATGCTGGTGTTCCACAAGGCTGCGTGCTATCACCAACGCTGTTTCTCCTGCATATCTGAGGCTCGCTCGCGGACATCCGAGGAGTTCGGACGTGTTTTATAATTTAACGCGCTGCAGTTAATTAGACACCGGAGGTCTACATATACTGGACGGAAAAGTAAATCTTACCAATTCCAAGATACCGGCCACTTTAAGCTGACTACGGCTCAACTTACAATTGACGGAAAGGCAAATAGTTTGACATCCCCGATTGCCACCAGTTTTAAGAGACACCTACAGCTACGTGTTACATTGCTAACAAGCTAATAACATTGAATAATAGTCAACAATCTTCACAAATAAAATGTCCGTACCACGTACGCCGACTAAACTATGCAGCAGTTCTGACCCGGATTTGTCTAAAACCCAGCCTGCGAGTGTAACTAGACAAGAAAAACGGAAGCGAGGTCATGTTCTGGATGAAGAATTTAAAACTTTTATGATTGAAGTGAAGAATATGATTTCTACGGCTACGGATGCACAAAATCATAAACTTACCACCTTGCATACCGCAATTGAAGAGATAAAGAAACAAAACAACGACATTTCGAAGGCAACTGAATTCATCTCGAAAAAGTATGATGAAATTAGAATTAAATTAGAAGAGAGCGAAAAAGAAAGAACAAGACAATTTGCTTACATTAAGAAATTGGAAGACAGAATTGTTCACCTGGAGTGTAGTTCTAGAAATTCAAGTATCGAAATACGAAATGCCCCGATAAAGTACCTTGATAATAAGAAAGACTTAATCAACATGTTAAAAAACATAGGAACCTCAATTAAAACCGATATAAGTGACGGTGACATAAAAAACATTTTCCAATATAAATCTAAAACTTCCTCACAAATGCCAGTTGTTGTCGAGTTCACCTCGGTTATCAAAAAAGAAACTGTCTTGAACTCCGTCAGAAAATTTAGACAGGACACAAAAAGTAACCTAACGACTAATCACGCCAAAATTAATGGCCCAGTGGAGCCCCTTTATACAGGGTCATTTTTAATTTACTGAAGACCTTTTGGGAATATATTGGTTACATCATTACAAACAATTTTAGTGAAATCACTCTTCACAGAATATAATACATTTACGAAAAAACTACTTTTAAGGTTTTGTTGTCATGTCTGACTCCTTTTAAGTCTGTATTTTGTAGTACCTAAACAATGTCAGAATAAATCGTCAAAGAAAATGCCTAAATAAGGCATTTTTACACTTGATACAGTATCAAACATTGTGTTGAAATCGTTAAACATAATTAAATGAGATAATGACATTCAAAAAAAACTTATAATAATACAAAAATACAAAAAAATTTATAATAAGTAAGAATGACCGAAGGGCCGGTCGACGCCCGCGCTCAGCTGATTGCGTTGCGAGTAGGGTTACCAGATGAAAAAATTAAAAGTCCGGAGAAGAGGCCTGATTTCCATTTAAAAATCCTGAGATTGTTTTACAGTTTGAGAAGAAAACCTTACTTAAAAAGGTATCTTCACATATTAAGTATGATAAAACTGTTTAAGTACCTACTTGGATAAATAAGTTTTCATTTTAATTGTGGAATTATTACCAAAGGAAAATTATTTTTAGTTTGTTTAACTTTTTATTAAGAGATCTTTTAAAATGTAAGCTGTATTATATTGAAAGTTCTAAAAATCCTGAGATTTCATGAGATTTGCAAAATCCAGCCGCAATCCTGAGAAGTCTAAAAATCCTGAAATCTCAGGACAAATCCTGAGATATGGTAACCCTAGTTGCGAGAGCCCACTAAACCATTCATCACTGTGCCTATTGCACCAGGTTGCCACTTTAAATGACTTTACATTAACTTTTCATATACTTTTTCATTTTGCATAAAACCATTTGATGAACTATTTGATTCTTTTATTAATTTCTTTAAGAATTAATAGACATTCTTTAATAGACATTTAGGTAGTTTTTTTACGAATACTGTTTGCTAGCAACTCTGCCTGCATCCAAGAGGCAACGCCTCATGTCGCACATGCGGCGGCCCAAGGCCAAGCCAACGATATATTATAACGTCGACACAGGTGTCACCGTCATCAAAAGCGCCGCCTGCCCTTTTCGGTTTGCAGGCATCGATTTGGTGATCGATGTTTGCAGCACGTGCAAATTAAATGAGTATTATTAACTATTTTTTTTATTTAATGTAAGTTGTATTTAAAAATATTTATACTACTTTATAATTACAATAAAATATTTATACTGATTAAATACAAATTAACAGTAATTGAATAAAGATATTAAAGGTATAATGGTTCAATAAAAATATTAAAATACAAATTTAAAAATTAGACTTACCTAGGTACTTGGTTCATGTGGATTTTCATAGCACCACAAGTGTTCATTGTGCGAATTAAATAGTCCTATTCTGCCAAATGTTGCTTCATCAGTCCATAAAATGTTGGCTCGTTCAGCAGCTAGTAACCAGTTACAAAATGTAACTCGCGCTGGTTTGGCAGCTTCGCTGAGTTCATGAACACGATGCAAGTGGAAAGGGTACTTCCCTTCATTGTGTATGACACTCCATGCTTAGTACTGTGACACATTGAACTGTCGGGCTGCCTCATAAGTGCTCGCTGCTGGATTTTGTACAAAAAACTGCAGTATGTCTTCCTGCTCACGTACTGTGCGCCGCGGTGGACGACCACGATCGATTGA